CTTGAACGCAGCATTAGCCCACAGCTGAGCAGGGACATGCGTTTATCGCATGAATTAAACAAGACATGAAGTGTCTAAAATAAATGTGCACAGTTCAGCTGAATGGTTACGTTTACTTTGACTGTATGCTTTGCACAATATTAACAAACTGTACACTAAAACAAAATAAGCAGAACATTAACAATAACTGATAGAGCTCGTGGTTTATCTGTCAATCAGATGCGGTATTGGTATTACGAGCACTTCCGGTGTCTGTTTGCCTCTTTAAGAACAATGCTTTATGTATTCCCCAATTGTAAGTCGCTTTGGATAAAAGCGTCTGCAAAATGACAAAATGTAAATGTAAGAGTCTAAAAAAACTAATTAAAGTCATGAAATCTTTATCACACAGAAGTGCTCACACTCACTCAGAGTCAGAAAAACTATCTGCCAAGTGCCAACATATTACAGTCTAGTTAATAATCAATCAAAACATGCAAACTCTGTAAACAGTGAACATCTCTCACATGCATACTGAAAATACGACTGACCTTTATTTATGATCAATAACAGCGTCACTTATAGCTTTTAGTCCGTTAAAATATCCATCACTCGTCTTTCACGCTACTCTCTTCTGTGCAAGTGTGCATGCTCCATTTGTTCCTCTGCATTTTTACGGCAAACTCTTTAGTGTATTGCTGCCATCTAATGGAAAATGCTGGTAAAACAGAGATATCTCTCATATAATAGTCTGTTAGGTCAGGATGTGTCCAGATTAAGCGTGATTCCTAGTTACCCCCAGTGCCCTGATCATATTCTTGTGGTAACAACCGCTTCCAGTCAATTAATGCATGATATCCTGCTTTTGACTTTTTATTTTGATGCTACAAAATATAGCATTTAAACAAATTAGAAACAGATTTTCTAAAATCCAATACTTGTGTTCACTTAATTTACACTGAATAATCTCTCCTGATAACAAAAGTCAATGAGCTGCTGAAAAGCCAACAGTTCTCTGTTCTCTCCTCATTCATTATGATGATGTCTGAGATCTTCTGTAAATTGGCACATTAAGCTCATTTCATTGTGTGTCAACAGACTGAGACAAACTACAGGATCATCACAAATAAAACCTATTACTGAACAACTAAATACTATAATGGCCTAACACATCAATAAAAAAAATCACACATAATCAGATCTCAGTGAAATGGCAATTTTATTTGCATCATTATACCTAGTCTATACAACTTTTATGTTGCAAAGAAACTTATAAATAAATATCTTAGAAAACCATTTTATACAACAAAAAGGTCAGAGACTCAAAGACAAGGATAAGATTAAAGTGACTAAATACTTTTTTTTTTTAAGTTTATTTGAACTAATCTCATATTTACTGTATCTTATTCTCACAAAATTTACTTGAAATATTGAATCTGTAGAAAACATTTGCTCACTCTGACACAGAACAATGCTTTTTAATACGAGTTTAATAGAGTTGTTGACTGAGTGAAACTCTTTCCACACTGAGTACAGTGATACGGCTTCTCTCCAGTATGAACTCGCTCATGTGCTTTCAGGTGTTCACCTTTTTAGGCGTTGTGTAGGAGAATTGCACTTTTAAACTTAAATAAAAAACAAAAAACTCATTCAAAACAAATAATAAAAATTAAGAACAATACAGTTAGGCATTGTCCATATACAGAAATAACAGGGCCATTATGTTTAACTAAGCTGCTGAAAAGCCTCTTTGTCTTTTAAAGTTCACTGTTCTCTCCTCATTCATTATGATGATGCTGATATCTTCTGTAAATGGGCACATTAAGCACATTTCATTGTGGGTCACTCATAAATTCTACACTTGGCCAATAGTAAATGACATAAATATATATTTTTTAAGCAAGACCTACTTAGCACCCAAATGAGATTTTGCAAAAACATTTTACTCACACTAAGAGTTGACTGAAGTTCCACTCATAAGTCTTTATAGTTTCACCCCCACAGATATACCGTTTCTTTAATACGACCTATATTTTATCTCACACAATTTACTTGAATGTATTTGACATGAAAATGAATATTGCTCACTTGCAATATTTTCTCATATGAGTGAGAAGGTTTGATGATTGTGTGAAACTCTTTCCACACTGAGTACAGTGATACGGCTTCTCTCCAGTGTGAACTCGCTCATGTACTTTCAGGTTTCCAGACTGAGTGAAACTCTTGTCACAATATGAGCACTTGTAAGGTTTCTCTCCAGTATGAAGTATTTGGTGCAGTTTCAGATTATCAGCTCTAGTAAAGCTCTTCCCACACTCACGACACACATGATCTTTCTCACTGGTGTGTGTTTTCTGGTGCCGTTTACAATGATCCAGCCGAGCAAAACACTTTCCACAAAATGAACATGCATACGGTCTCACATTTGTATGAATTTTCATGTGTTCTTCTAGTTTTGATGATAATCTAAAATCTGTACCACACTGATCACAGGTAAATGGCTTTACTCCAGAGTGAACGAGCAGGTGACAGTCCAGACCATTTTTACTTCTGAAACTCTTTCCACACTGAGTCCAGCGATACGGCTTCTCTCCAGTATGAACTCGCTCATGCTTTTTCAGGTTTCCAGACTGAGTGAAACTCTTGTCACAATATGAGCACTTGTCAGGTTTCTCTCCAGTATGAAGTATTTGGTGCTGTTGCAGATTATCAGCTCTAGTAAAGCTCTTCCCACACTCACGACACACATGATCTTTCTCACCAGTGTGTGTTTTCTGGTGCCGTTTACAATGATCCAGCCGAGCAAAACACTTTCCACAAAATGAACATGCATACGGTCTCACATTTGTATGAATTTTTATGTGTTCTTCTAGTTTTGATGATAATTTAAAATCTGTACCACACTGATCACAGGTAAATGGCTTTACTCCAGAGTGAACGAGCAGGTGACAGTCCAGACCATTTTTACTTCTGAAACTCTTTCCACACTGAGTCCAGCGATACGGCTTCTCTCCAGTATGAACTCGCTCATGTGCTTTCAGGTTTACAGACTGAGTGAAACTCTTGTCACAATATGAGCACTTGTAAGGTTTTTCTCCAGTATGAATCATTTGGTGCTGTTCCAGAAGGTCAGCTCTAGTAAAGCTCTTCCCACAGTCACAACACACATGATCTCTCACTTTAATATGTGTTTTCTGGTGCTGCTTCAAATTATGTTGCAGTGAAAAACTCTTTCCACAGTAAGAACACACAGGTGGCTTCTCACCTGAATGAACTGTCAGGTGTTTTTTTAGATATGATGATGAAGTGAACTTTTTATCACAATGATCACAGCTAAATGGCTTTTCTCTTTTTTCTGATCTCTCTTTATCTGCTTGCACTGGCTACCAGTTGCGGCTCGCATCAAGTTCAAGACATTGATGCTTGCATATATAACAGCCACAGGCTCAGCACCCGCCTACTTCCACTCACTATTACGAATCTACATCCCCTCCAGAAGCCGGAGATCCGCTAGTGAGCGACGCCTCGTGGTACCATCACAGAGAGGCACAAAATCACTTTCCAGAACACTCTTGTTCACCATTCCTGACTGGTGTAATGATCATCCCACCCTCATCCAGAATGCTGAATCCCTGACAAATTTAAAGCGACAACTGAAAACTAATCTCTTTCGACGCTACTTGACTTCATCTTAAATTAAAGATGAAAAAAAAACTTTGTCTTTCTCTTGATTTATTCCTTCCCTTTCTAGCTTGTACTTATTTGAACAATGCCTGAAATTTGGTATTATGAGCACTTCCGGTGTCTGTTTGCCTCTTTAAGAACAATCGCTTTATGTATTCCCCAATTGTAAGTCACTTTGGATAAAAGCGTCTGCAAAATGACTAAATGTAAATATAACTATTTTGTTGCAGAGAAATATATAAATAAATATCTTAGAAAAAAGTTTTATGTTACAAAAAAGTCAGAAACTGAGGCACTTAATCATTGAGGAGGCATTGAATTAAATGATTAAAATAAATCAGTGTAAGATTAAAGTGACTAAATACTTTTGCTGTTCTCCATTAACACAGAAAAAACATCCCCACAAATCTTGTGGCATTTCACAACAAAACTAGTTTATTTGAGCTAATTGCACATTTACAGTATCTGAATCTCACATTATTGACTAGAAATATTGAATCTGTAGAAAACATTTGCTCACTCTGACACAGAACAATGCTTTTTAATATGAGTCACTAGAATTCTTAACCGAGTGAAACTCTTTCCACACTGAGTACAGTGATACGGCTTCTCTCCAGTATGAAGTCCTTCATGCCTTTTCAGGCTTCCAGACACAGTGAAACTCTTGTCACAATATGAGCACTTGTAAGGTTTTTCTCCAGTATGAATTCTTTGGTGTCTTGTCAAAACGGCAGCTACAGTAAAGCTCTTCCCACACTCAAAGCACATGTGATCTCTCACTTCATTATGTGTTTTCTGGTGCAGTTTACAACTGTTCAGCCGTGAAAAACTCTTTCCACAGTAAGAACACACATGAGGCTTCTCATCTGAATGAACTTTCTGGTGTTGTTTTAGACATGATGATGAAATAAACTTTTTATCACACTGATCACAGTTGAATGGCTTTTCTCCAGAGTGAATGTGCAGATGATAACTGAGACCTGATGAATCAGCAAAACTCTTTCCACACTGAGGGCATGTGTACAGTTTCTTTCCAGTGTGGACTCTCATGTGCACATTAAGATTTCCCTTTTTTATGAAAGTCTTTCCACAGAAAGTACACACATGAGGCTTCTCATCTGAATGAACTTTTTGGTGTTGTTTTAGAATTGATGATGAAATAAACTTTTTTCCACACTGATCACAGTTGAATGGCTTTTCTCCAGAGTGAATGTGCAGATGATAACTGAGACCTGCTGCTGCAGTAAAACTCTTTCCACACTGAGGGCATGTGTACAGTTTCTTTCCAGTGTGGACTCTCATGTGCACATTAAGATTTCCCTTTTTTATGAAAGTCTTTCCACAGAAAGTACACACATGAGGCTTCTCATCTGAATGAACTTTTTGGTGTTGTTTTAGAATTGATGATGAAATAAACTTTTTTCCACACTGATCACAGTTGAATGGCTTTTCTCCAGAGTGAATGTGCAGATGATAACTGAGACCTGCTGCTGCAGTAAAACTCTTTCCACACTGAGGGCATGTGTATGGTTTCTCTCCAGTGTGGATTCGCATGTGCACATTAAGGTTTTCTTTTTTTCTGAAACTCTTTCCACACTGTGAGCAGGTGTGCAGCTGTTTGACTTTTTTTCTTGATTTTTCCTCCTCCACTTCTTTCAGCTTCACTCTTTGCTGTTTTATTTCAGCCAAGTCTAAAATAAACAAATCATGTGGTTAAAATCAAGTGAACTGGATCTTTGTTAGAGTCATGTTTCTCAGCAATCAGTAATGAAGAATCAAGAATGGACACCAACCTGTTTGTTCCTCAGTATCTTCATGTTTTATTCTGGATGGTTCTGAATAACTCATGTCTTCAATCTCCTCTTTAACAAACTCTGTCTTTAACAGTCACAGATTTCAGCTGCTTCACCTGGAGCTTGTTCTTCTCTTGTAGGATGATGTGAATATTCTCCAGTATTTATAGGTGAATTGTTGTGGGAGGGGCTTCACTGATCATTGTCTGATACTGAGACCCACAGGACCAGATCTGGAGAAATCAAATACAAGTTACTGAATTTATACTCTATTACTTTAAATTAACCACATATATTAGTTTGCTGTTCAAAATATAAAGCATTTGATGGTCACATATTAGTGTCATATAAAACAGCCACAAGCCATTAATCACACAGCCAACAATATGCATAATGGCAGGTTAATTAAAAAGCTGGACTATGAAACAAGCCAAAGCAGAGGTGCAAAGAGATGCATTTTTATATATACACAATATAAACATTGTTCAAAATGAATGATTCTATTCAGTTCTGTAGTACGCTGCAGCACGAACAATGCACATTTACGTAAAATAAACATAAATTCATACATTAGAAAATAAACGCTGTTTATAAAAACATGGAGTTATGAAATCATCTTTATCACACAGAAGTGCTCACACTCACTCGAAGTCTGAAAAACTCTCTACCAACTTATTACACTCTAATTTATAATAAACCAGGACACTGTAAACTAGAAACATGCAGCCTGGAAATATAAAGCATTCTGTGAAAATATTCCACAATTGCCCTTCATTTATAATGGGTAACAGCCTTTTTAGCTCCAACTTAAAATATTCAGCACTTTTTTCTGCACTTCTATCTTCTGCATAATTTGTTCTTTTGGATTTTTATGACAAATTTGACAACTCTTTAGTGTATTCCTGCCACCTATGGGAAATTCTTGTTAAAACACAGGCACATGAATGCATACACACACACACACACACACACATAAAACTCACAGAACCACTTCCAGCCTATTAATGTCTGATAATATCCTGCTTTGGAATTTTTATATTGTTGTCACAATATATAGCATTAACAAATTGGAATACTCGTTACACTGACTAATCTCTCCTGTTAACAAGACAGCGTCAATAGACAATGAGCTGCTGAAAAGTCAATAGTTCCCTGTTTTCTCCTCATTCATTATGATGATGTCTGAGATCTGTAAATTGGCACATTAAGCACATTTCACTGTGGGTCAACAGACTGAGACAACAAACTTTGTTTTGGCCGGATTTTGTATGAAATGACGTCACATCAGTTAAAAAAAATCTATGTAAGATTAAAGTAACTAAATTATCTTTGATGTTCTCCAACAACACAGAAAAAAACATCCCCACAAATATTATGGCATTTTACAGCAAAACTAGTTTATTTGTGCTAATGTCATATATATTTTTTTTTATTGCTTAATGTATATAACAAGACAGGGAACAACCAACAATGTAAGACTTCCATTGAGACAAACACAGAGTTTACATTAAAGAAGAATAAAAAAATAAAATAAAATAAAAAAAGAAATAAACACAAGGAGCAAGGATGAAAACAAAGATGTAGTCGATGTAGACATTATACAGAAAAAATAAACTAAAGTAATAAATAATTTGACAAAGAGAAGCATAACTTTTCAGATTTTCTATTATGTTTTTTGAAGCATTTGAAGCTCTGAAACATTTTAGCAAACTCACATAAAAATATATTGAAGGAAGGTTTACTTTTTCTCCATTTACAAGTATGGATATGATATTTACCCATCAACAAAACAAAATGTACAACATCAGAGAAGGATGAATTTAAATCACACTTAAAAAAGAGGACATCTTGTTGGGTTATAGGAGGAATTGTCTCCATTGTTACTGACAACCAGCTATGTATATCGAACCAAAATTTAGAAGAAGCCTCACAGTAAAAGAAAAGGTGATCAAGTGTTTCAGGAAATTAAGAACAGAAAATACAAGGATCCACCTCGAAATATGAAATCGTTTTTGTATAAAGTCACTAACTGGGTAAATCCTAAACATAATTTTGCAATGAGTCTCCTTGACCTTTGGAGCAACTGGGTATGCCATATAACGGGTAAAAGCTTTGTCCTTTACTGAGGTTTCAACATCTCCCAGAAAATAACACTGATAATCACCAGTGATAATACGTTTAAGTTCTTTGTAAATAAGTTTGTTATTACACTTACTGTCTAAAAGGTCAACATTACATATTTTCAAAGAGGGAAGAGAAACTACAGGTCTAGATAAAAGATCAGAAAAACTGCTTTGGATTATTCTTAACAATCCAGTGGGTATAGCATTGCATACCTTATTATAACCTTTTATTGTAATTCTAACTCTGTATTTATTAATGAAATTATTATAAGATAAGAAAAAGGCATTATCATCTAATAAATCATGAATAAAAATAATGCCTTGGCTATACCAATCACTTTTAAACAGAGATTTCCTATGAATAATTACAGCCCTATTGTTCCAAAGAGTGGAGTTGTGAGGGGAAAAATTGTGGGTAAATCTAATTTTCCAAAAAAGCAGTACTTATTTATGAAAATTAGATACTTTCAGAGGAATTTTGCAAGGGTCGAGATCACATCTCAACACAAATTCAAGGCCGCCAATATTTTTAAAAACGTGGCTAGGAATATGGTACCATATTGAGTGTGACTTTGTTAAAACTCTTTCAAACATTTTATTCTGCATGTACCAAGAAGAGATTCAAAATCAATGGCTCTCAAACCTCCATGTTCATACTTTTCACCATATGGAATTCACGTAAATAATGTGTTTTATTTTTCCATATAAATTTAAATAAAATTGAATTCAATGTCATATTTACTGTATCTGAATCTCACATTGTTGTCTTGTAGATCTGTAGAAAACATTTGCTCACTCTGACACAGAACAACGCTTTTTGACGAGTCACTAGAGCTTTTGACTGAGTGAAACTCTCTGAGTACATCTTCTCTCAAGTATGAACTCGCTCATGTACTTTCAAGTTTCCTGACTGAGTGAAACTCCTGTCACAATATGAGCACTTGTGAGGTGTTTCTCCTGTATAAATTCTCTGATGCAGTTTCAGATCGCCAGCTACAGTAAAGCTCTTCCCACATTCATAGCACACATGATCTCTCACTTCATTATCACATCATTGTAGGTGTGAACCAGTTTGAAAATGCTGTCAACATATTACACTCTAATTTATAATAAACCAGAACACTCTATAAACTGGAAACATCCAGACTAGAAATATAGGGCATTCAGCAAAAATATTCCACAATTGCCCTTCATTTCTGATTGTTAACAGCTTCGCTTTTAAATCCTTTTCAATCCAACTGCTTAAAGTCAGTAAAATAATGGTAATCCTGTCACTATGGGGACATTCCAGAGGCGTAATGTTTTTTCTACAAACTGTATTTTCTATCCCCTTACCTTAACCCTACCTTTAAGATATCTCAATATGAGTTTAGATTCTAGTTCTTAACATTTTCTTGAATTATTTTAAAGCCATGTGGTTCAATCTCAGCAATATGGGGATCACAATGTGTCTGAGTAAATTGTGGAATTTTACTCATTTACTTACAGATACTTATTCAAAGAGGAATGTCTGAAGAACAAATAATCTTGAAACTGGAATTGCATCTTGTTTTTTTTTTTATCAAACCAAATGAACCATTTAGGGCCTTAAAAATTAAGGTAAAGAAATATTTAAGAACCATATATAAAAGTATACTGAGATATCCTTAAATACTTCTTGAGTTACAGGAATGCAAACTTTAGAACAAAAAATACAAAAAGTGCTTTCCCCCATTTTTGAAGCGTCACCATTGGCATTTAATGCAACAAGCATTGTTAAGCTAAACTGATTTTATTAGACCTTGCAATATCTGTGTAAACATAAAACAATAATGCTGTTGTCTTTATAAAGTCATTTTTTCACCCTATAATTTATCTAATCTCATTTTATTGTATGATTCAGTCAATATTAATCTATGACATTTAATATTTTGGCTTTCTTTTTCATTTTTGTATTTCTTTTATCAGAAAGAGCTGTGAACTGAATCCATTAAGTCAAAAATGTTGTTGACAGGTGACTGAGTGATTAAGTTGACCAATGAAATCATTGGTGATCCAGGGCTTGTGGTTAACTAGTTCAGGGGGAAAAAAACATTCTGAAAAACCCAACCAAAACATTTTATAAAATGTTAAACCTTACATTTCAATTATGTAATATATAACTGGCTTGAACAAAAACAGCAGACAGACTGAATGAAAATGGTAATTTATGCTATTTCAATGTCAACAACATGACGAGTGCAGGTATGGTTTTGTAGTCTTTAACAGTACTTTATATCATGTTTAACCTGACTGAGTGGCTGCAGAAAAAAAAGAGCAACAACAAAAACATGCTGCTAGAGACGGGCTTATTGAAAATGCAAACTCATTGTCTGCCAGCAGGAGGCGCTTTGAGAGCGGTAGAACTTGCGGTTTCCCCGGTAACGACTGTAATCAAAGCAGCTCCGCTCATGAACGCTACTTTATCAGATAAAATGAAAATGTCATCGAAACTTTTCTGAAGACAGTCGGTTCCCTTCAGAGATACATTCATATAAAACACCCGCGCCACGTTATGATTTTGAAACGTGCAGTGCTCATGTTTATTCAACGAAGTCAAACGCCACAAATAAATCAATGCATGGGAAACACTGGTAATGTATATCGAAATATCGGAAATGTGTTTAAAAATCATATCACCGTTATTGAAAAAAATTATATCGCGATACATATTGATATTGAATTATCGTCCAGCCCTACTGAGGGGTAAAGATTATAAAACACACATCAATAGGTGATTATCACATAAAGTGATGATCCTGTAGTTTGTCTCAGTCTGTTGACACACAATGAAATGTGTTAATGTGCCAATTTACAGAAGATCTCAGACATCATCAGAATGAATGAGGAGAAAACAGTAGCAGATCAGTTAAACGTTACGCCTGTTTCTGTCAGACTATTGTTTCACTAATTGTCAGATAGACTGTTTTGTTTTTCTTCGTGTTTTGCACTTTTATCATTCTAATTTTATCCAGAAACACTGCAATTATTTTGACAGTACAAATATTTATCAGGCCAATAAAGTAATAACTACAAGTAAATAATTAGATTAATTTATAGACTTTGCTAATTTGGACAACTTTGTTTAAACA